CCTTGGAAGTGTTTCATCCATTATGTCACCCAAGACTTTTAATTATTGTTGGCTTTGTGGCAGAGTATTGAGAAAGAGCTATTAGAACGCCTCAGGAAAGGAGTGTATGGTGATATCTACAATTACCCTGTCAAAGAGTACGAAAAAGTCCTTGAGATGGATTCATTGCAGGCTGCCGATGAAGATGAAGAGGAGGTATACTATTTTTTCATGAACACATATTACTTTTGTTGTTTGAGAAGGTACTTATGGCTCCGTTAAAACAGTATTTCTATATGAAATGTGCAGAAGTTTGCTTCTTGCTAAATTTTATCATTTGATGATTATGCAATCGATATTTCTGGAATGAGCAGGAACCTGAGATAGAGTATGTGGAAGGTTATGATGAACTTGAGGAAGAACTAGAAGATGATATTGAAGATTTTGGCGGTCTTGCAATGAATAGAGTTCGTGCAATTGCTGACAATGGCGAAGGTTCTTTCTATACCTAAATAAAACGTGTTCATTTAGTGTTTGAATATTCACGTGATCATTTTTTTCAAGAGCTGTTATGTTTTTTTCCCGTTCTTTATGGTTTCTTGCTGCATTTACGTTTTGCCTTGCTTTGTTCCCTTAAAAATCACGTGAGATGAGAAGTTCCTAGAGGACTTATCCTGGATCCAAGTAGTGGAGCTAATTTTATTTTTGGTTCAGATGAAGACGGTGACGAAGATGAAGATGATAAGGCAGAAGCTGATCGGAAGAGGGGAAGTAAAGAATCCTCCTTGGCTTTAAGAAACGTTGAGAAAGGTGATGCTGGTTCTAAGCCCAAGAAAAGAGCTAAGGTTCTCGTTGAGGTGAGTGCATCATTTTAAATGTTTAGATCTGCTGTCAATATAAACCTTTGTAAATTATAAGCATGTTTTTTCGTATTAGTACTGACAAATTTAAGTTCAGTTGCCAGGAAATGAGAATTTTCTGTTAGTAGTGACAAATGTATAGTCGGCTTTGTTTTATACATGGAAATCACTTTGTGCAGAAGCGTTAGCTAGTCTCCAATGCGTTCGAGTGGCATCATGCCATGACCAACCTACATCCTCTTCCAATATTTTCTCATCAAAGTCTTATACATCATGATTGTGGTTGAGTGTTCATTCTTTTCTTGGGGGTTATTTCCTTCTTTAGCAGAAATGAAAGCTTTTTAGGTTAAGATTCGAATTATTCTGATGACATCCTCTTTCCTGAGGAGAAAAGTAGCAAAGGTAATTCAGCCCACTCCTTGGAGGCTGTCTTGATAGGATGATGCCATATGCTTGTGATTGAATAAACAACTTTTTCTTTATGCTGATGTCTAGTGAAGGGTGCAAGGGATGGTGCTTACTACTGTTCTGTGCAAAAGTTGCTTTGGTAGTTTATGGTGCAGTAGCAGATTTACTGTTCATGGTAACTTTGATTAGGCTGTAGTGACTTTACTTAGGCTATCAACAGATGCATGGTTCTACGTTTTATGCTGGGTCTCCTTCGATCTCTGTCTCCTTCGATCTCACCTAGTGTTGGCACAATTCATACATCTTATGATGTTTTCCTGTTCAGCGGACCGTGAGATGCGGTTCTCCATTTGGAGTTATGATCCGGAAGGGGAAAAAAGAGCGGGGAAAGAGGGTCTTCATTAGCTCTGACGATGGGTTTAGTTACAGGATTAGTCAGACGTTGAGTATGTGCCATGTAGTCAGGATAGTAAAATAAATATAGTCTATGTTATTGGGTTGAGGGCAAATTCTATTTATGTTTTTTCTTTGGCCATCTGTATATGGTCAATTTACTTGGATGAGAAATTGTTTTTTTCAGTTCGTCATGGAAATTGGGTTGTTCCTTTCGTAGGTTGGTATTGAATCACTGCTGTGTTAGTCCAGGATCATTAACACCATCGTAAGCAGTAAATGCCCATGTAGATTTCAATTAGTTTTTCCTACTCTTCTTTGAGATTTCTGTCTGACATGCCCAAATGGCTATTTTCACGAATTATACTAATAGTAATTATAATAACGAGAATTGTGAAAGCTGATTATTGTGCCTGTGATTGTGCTTTTTATTATGTGGTGTACAATTTATAAAAGGATCTCATGCCAACATCAGTGTCTGAAACCACTTCTTTTGATTGGCAGGTTGAGCATGAAAATGCTGATGACAGACAAACTGCAGTTCACTGAGGGCTTGCTCCGAACCGGTCTTGTTATCGTCTGGCCTGGTAACCCAGATGTGGGCAGCTGTCTCGGCTTCGAAAGCGTACAGCATGCTTTTCAGAGTAGCACAAAAAGATATCACCACAAAGTTTTGACAGAAATTAATGGCAGTTCTGAGTAATGTATTGTATCTATGTTCTGCTTCTCCCCGACACTCATTATCTTTTTAAGAAAGGAGGCATCATCAGTCACAAAAAAGATTGACACTCATGAGCAGAGAACCAACATCTAATGGATGCATGTTGCACCAATAGTTCCCTACTGACCTATGTTTTTACCCTTGGCTTTAATAGATAGGTTGAGAACTATGTTGTCCCAGACCTTCTCCTCCATTTTTTTACCTCCAGTGGAATTTTGTCACATTGAATTAATGCATCCTAGCTGAGGCACTCTATAGGTATTGAATATGGAATCATGGATTTGTTTTCGTGTTTTGTTTTGAAAAGAGTTGAAGCGTATTTGTATATCTCCATTTTTAAATCTGAGAGGAAAAGGTACAATATAAGTAAAGTAGGAATAACTAAGACGCACAGCAAAAGGAGCATTTGCCTTGGCCAAATCTGAGCCTTTGAGATTGCACTCTTTGGCGGCGTTGAACGAGCACGAGATGCTATAAATTCCATGTTCAGCATGCTAGTCTCGGCGTTGACGTGATAGATTGCTCCGAGTCGTCTTGATACTGGCTTTGTCATCTATAGAATGAGAAGGTGGGTAGCTCAGCCTACGGTTAGTTCAGATAAAAGGGGAAGACAAAAGGTGCGACGGTGCGTTCCCTGATAATAATTTCTCCATTCTAAAGAGAAGACATCGTTTTCGCGAGCTCCTTTCCATACGCACGCTCACGGTGTTTTAATCTTTTAATCTACGTGCTCGCTCTCTCTCTCTCTCTCTTCACTCCTCTTTGATACATTCTGTACCTCTTCATTGCAAATTTTCAAGCTGTTTCATCTTTTATTCCAAATGATTCCTAACCCTAGCTTCAATTACGTAACGCCGCTCAATTTTTCGTGCATCTTTTGGACTAGATCATCACTTTGGTTATATGATATTTCTCTTGGTTATGTGACTCATACTTTTGGAGGATAGCATAGGAGGTATCTGCGAAAATGCCTTTAGAATTTCTTATCTTCAATTCCACGATGGGTCCCTTCCTTTTGTCTTCCAATTTGGATGCTCATTGCGGTATCACGGTTTGATTTCTTTCTTGGAATTGAGAACCATTCTCACGTGAAGTTTGTAAGCACCGAGAGATTTAAGTATGTTAATTATATACATATTCAATTTTTGAAAGTAAGATCTAAAAAGCATCCCGTCTCACTTTCAAGTACACAATCCAAGAACAGAAAACCGGCTTTTTTTCCTTGAAAATAAGTCACTTAAAATATTTTCGTCTATCAAGAGGTCTTCTGTAAAACAAACACACCCTTTGACCACCGATACTCAACGTATTCCTATGTTGGCGAGCCCTTGGGCTGGCGGTGGTTAGTTGAGTTCTTGCAGGCCTAGTTGCGTTCTGTAATTTTGTCACCGGAGATATCCGTGCGATATTTTAACGAGATAATTCTTCGTCATACTTGAGCTCTAGATGCTGCTGTTTTATCCGAACTCTATTTATTTACATCTGGACTTGGAACGTCGTTGTACTTCCAAAAAAGAATTAGCCTCAAGGATGTGACTCTCCCAGGCGGCCAAGCAGTGCCAGTTTCATTTTAGCTCGGTTTGGATCGATCCGCTGCAGTCGTCCCTTTGATTATCCTTTAGGGACAAATTTCGATCCCTCCAGTGAATAATCCTATTACAAGGTACCAATAGTTGGTACCGACCACGTACATAATTAAGTTAAAAAAAGAGTCACGACGAAGAAATGTGCAGGCAGAATCTTCCCTCCCCCATGTCCAGTCAGAAACCACGGCCGACTAGTTACCTCATGGTGTCTTGCGGTGCTTATTCAACGAAACCAACCTTTAATCAGTTTACGGCATGTTTGGTAAAATTTCTATTGCTCTAGTTTTCTGTTCTTTTATTTTCCAGGAGCAGAAAAGGACCAAGAATCTTTTTGTGTAAGTCAGTTAAATTTTTGGAACACAAACAAAAAGTACAAAAAAAAAAAAATCTACTTTTCTGTTCCAGAAATAAAAAGAGAAATAAGGTCATTTTAGAGAAACAATCTCAGCATGACCTAAACCTTATACCCTAAACCCCATACCCTAAATCCCTATTTATTGAAATGCCCAAAGTGTGAGTAATAAACCAGTGGAACTCTCTGCCGCTATTTCCAGGCATCCATCTTTGACTAACTATCATGTTAGATTTTCTGCGGCTATCTTCGAATATCTTGATCATTTAAGTCCTTACAAAAATCCAGTTTTATCTAAACATGAATTGTTAAGTCTCCACTGATATTTTTATAATTAAATGAAAAAATTGAGAATATAAATTTTAGGATCGTACCAAAAACATTTTTTTCTTTTTCTATTTCGAGAATAGAAATTTTGTATAGTTACCAAAACATTCTTATACTCAGAAACTCGTTCGGAGAATAGAAATAGAAAAAATTATTTTTAAATAGAAATTGTTCCCGGGAATAAAAATGTTATCATACGCCGTTCCTGGACATCATACTTTGTCCTTTAGCAGTTGAATTGATGCCGTGAATCAAGTAAGGAATTTACGAGTGAGAACAATTGCCATTTGCATCTCAAAGAAAACAGAAAAGGCCCCGTTTGGATCTATTTAAGAAGTAACAAGGAAGAGCTACGGGAACAACAGTTTAGACATCAATGACCATGGCAGGGGTCTTTCTCTCTCTCTCCGTTGTGGGCTTCACTTGCTTGTTCTTGTACCTCTACAATCTCTTCTGGTGGAGGCCGCTGCAGCTCAGAAAGAAGCTTCAGGATCAAGGAATCAATGGCCCTGCGCCGTCCTTTTTCTTTGGCAACACACCAGAAATTAAGAAGATTCAACTGGAAGCGCAAGCCACAAAGAATCAACAAAGCATCGGCAATCGTGTCTCGCATGATTACATGTCCCGCCTATTTCCCCACATAGAGAAGTGGAGAGCCGAGTTTGGTAAACATATTGTCTTCTACTTCAATCATTGTTCACGTCTTGTGTTTAGGAGTTTTCACTAGATATGCCTGTAACATGTGCCAGCTATTTCTGTTGTGTATTAATCATATGTAGCTTAAGACAATCATCCTTGCCAGCTGAGAACGCTGTCGTTGTTGCAGGTCCAGTGTTTTCGTTCACAATGGGAAACATGGTGATCGTATGCATTTGCGACTTTGACATGGTAAGGGAGTTCAGTCAGTGCAAGTCTACAGAATTCGGAAGGCCCGAGTACCTGAGAGGCAGGGGAACTCTGTTGGGTTATGACAGCATCGTCACTGCGAAAGGGAACTCTTGGGAGACCCAGAGGAAGGTCATAGCGCCAGAATTCTTCAACGACAAAATAAAGGTGTGAATTTAGTTAGGCAGGTTCAATCAAATTCACAGCGGCACAGTTCTTGGTTGAGCTGTCTTTGTTCTTGCACTTTGAAGCAGTTAATTTTTAACAGAAAATCTATCCATATGATACTTGTTTTGTTTTGCAAAGGGAATGGTGGACATGATGGTTGAATCCGCTGTCTCCGTGCTGGAAAAATGGGAATCTCAGATGGAGGAAGCAGGGGGAGTTGCTTCAGTACGGGTCGACGAGGATTTAAAAAGCATCTCTGCTGAAATGCTTTCAAAAGCATGTTTTGGAAGCAATTATGTTATTGGCAATGAAATTTTTTCCAAGATGTTAGTGCTCCAGGATTTGCTTAGCAGGCAGCGTGCTTTTGTTGGTCTTCCTGGGGTAAGGTGAGGGCGCCTCCTTCTTCAGCGTTAAAAGACTCTAGCCGTGGCTTGGTTTTGTTAAAGCTCGCTTTCTACAGCAAGTTGCGACTGATAAATTCATGCGTTCATACAGACAATACCCTTGAGGCAGACGTAATTCCACATGTTTACCTTTTGTCAGCTACTGTTTCATATGCCGTGTCACGTATGTGGCAAAATTTCCTCTGATAAACTCTCGAAAATCCTTAAACCCACTTAGGTCATGCTTCCCCGACAAAAGTATTTCAAATTACTCTTGCCGCTTTTTGACGTCTTCAAAATTTTTGGATATAGGCATATTCCTACAAAGACTGCTCGTGGCATTTTGAGGATCGGAAAAGAAATTGACCAATCTGTTCTGAAGCTGATGGACGATGATCACAATGCCGACAAGGGGGGCTTCTTACAGGCCTTAGTCGACCATTTCAACCATGAATCGAGCGTCATCATAGACAATTGCAAGGGTGTGTTCCTCAGCGGACATGAAACTACCGCCACCGCCGCTACCTTCGCTTTAGTACTTTTAGCACACTATCCTGAGTGGCAGGAGCGTGTGCGGGCAGAGGTGGTAGAGATCCTTGGAAATCAAGCCCCGAGTATGGATAACCTGCACAAAATGAAACTGGTACTTCTAAATTTATTTTTTCCTATTATGCACACGTTTCACAGACCTAAAGTATACACGCAGTGTGCAATTGCAAACATGGGGCACACGATTCACAGACCTAAAGTATACACGCAGTGTGCAATTGCAAACATGGGATAGTCAGGGCAGGACCTGATCCCTAGACCCAATTTTGTAGTTCACCATAGTATTCTCTAGCTTAATCAATCAATCGATCAATCAATTACCTGCGTATGCGGACCATTCCAAGGAGATATTATTTTATGTATATTGTTTCATGAACTGAAACCAAGGATCATTATAGAGTGAGCGTTCTTAGTAGTTTTTTAGTTTATGGATTGACATGTAAGTTTCAAGTGGATATATATAGTCGCATGTATATCCTTAGGAGGAGATCTAAGTATAGGACTGTTTGCCTGTCGGCTGTTTTCTCTCAATGTGCAGTTAAGTATGGTGATTTATGAAACATTGCGCCTATATCCCCCTGTACCATTCTTTCCGAGGGAAACGATGGAGGAACTGAAGTTTGGGGACTTTTTGATTCCGAAAGGCATCAACATCTGGCTCCCAATCACCCTGTTGCATCAGGATCCGGCCAACTGGGGCGACGATGCCCACGAGTTCCATCCAGAAAGGTTTGAGAATGGCATTCCTTCGGCATGCAAGCATCCGAATCTGTTCATGCCTTTTGGGACGGGGATACGAAACTGTGTTGGCCAGAATTTCGGGATGACAGAACTAAAGATAGTTCTGTCAATTGTGCTGTCTAAGTTCACTTTCTCTTTATCCCCCGAGTACAAACACACAGTGACGTATGGTCTGTTTTTTAAGCCTCAACATGGGGTACAACTGAAGATGGAGAAGATCTGAGATTGTCCATCTCGTGTACGAATGTTTCGTCTGTTGCACTGGAAGCTGTACCGCAAAAAAGTGTAGTTGACGAAATTGCAGCATTATGTCCTCTTGTGGGTGGTCAGTAGGGCTCACTTCTTTGTAAAAGCTAAGCTTAGTAACGTAAGAACTCCTGGCTTGCAGGGGGTATCGATATATTTGACGTGTGGCTGCTCTTAGAATGCCTTCGGCAATTCTCATAGAGAGAATTCATAAAGAAGGAAGTTCTTGTTAAATACAATATAATTAGTACTGCGTATCTTTTTTTGACTCATGTTGGACATTTCTTGACTAGGAACGTTAGGCATCCTATTACCTTGAACTTTGCAAGTCCTACTTCAGTTCATTATAGATGTGATGGACAAAGCCACGTACAAAATCGCTGAGATCACCTGATAAGTGATAAGTTTTTATGTGCAGATCCGGGTTATACAGGAATTACAAACCTGATTGTTCATTAAGCTTTTGGAGTCTCTTGATGTTGCAGTTGCCTCTCAGGGGAAGAAATATAATGAAATAGATGTGCAGATCTCCAATCTCTGCCTCCACAATCTTCTGCTCCCACAGATAAAGAAACTTCTAGCTTGCATGCAGTATAATAGTCATTAAAAGGCAGGTCATGCGACAAAATTCAGTAAGATTCGCACGAAATTACTTTTTTACTATCAGTGTTAGTGTTAGTTTAAAGTATTAAATTGCTTCTTGGCATGGAAAAATATTTTCATAAAATTCAGGCCAAAATCTCCACTTTTAGCCTCAAAGGCACGGATGTTGCACACTAGTAGACTCCTTGTTCCCCTATGGTTTGTAAAATAACAAACCAAATGGAGACAAAAAGACAAAGTGGTGCAATGATCAACGTGGGATTGATCATTGAAGGAAAGTGACCATTCTCGGGCCAAAAGGAAAAACAAACATGAGATTGAAGCAGCAATCAGAGGAGACGAGACAGAGAGCATGAGGGCCGGCCCACGACTCAAGCAGCAATGACGAGAGAAGGTGTGACGGCAGAGGCAAGGCGGCAGATCTGGCGACGCTGGTGCATTAGCGGCAAAGGTGAAGGGTGGGGGGGAGGAAGTGTATTTGGTATTTGGTACAAGTTTCTCTGAGATACAGAATTATTTTGCTCCATGGTAACGTTTACCCCCTACAAGGACAGGATCCCAATCCTTTTATTTACATGCTATTCTACAAGGTATTTCCCATCCTCATGGAATTTAGGATATCACCAAAATAAGCTTCTAGATCATGTTTAAACCTTCCCTAATGAGCCACACTACGTGTCCACCACACCAAAACTCTTTAGAATAGCCCAAATTGGAGAGTGTTACCCTTACATCAGTCATTGCACACCCTCTTACTGTATCACATGCTTTGGGAATGACTAGAATCAAGACATATTTGGAACAAGCTGTCACAATTGAGCTACTATATGTGACAAAGTGCAAAACCAATAAAAAAAATACAAATAAACCAATGCAATATACACTTTTTTGGAGCAGTGTGTACTTTTTCCCAAAGTTTAGTTATAGTTAATCGTTTAGTGCGACGAGATATAAAGAGACCTTCGGCTGTTAGGGACAAGCCTAGAGTCAAAACCGACATGTATAACCATTGGCTAAGCAATAAGATTTTCTTAATACTTTCTTTGTTTTTTCTCTCTTTCGGTCCAGGGGTTAATTCGTCACGTTCATTGTCCATGTGATAGCGATATCATTTCTAATTTTACAAGAACAAGAAAAGTCAGCTACTAAAGAGCTAAAAGACAAACAAACATAAATACAACACCAATCCCATTTGTCGAGAGACATTTTAATGTAATAATACACATCTTCCTCGTGATGCTAAGTTATGGTTTAGCAACTTATGAGGACCAAATTACCCTCCTCTCCCAAAACACCAAGCAGACCGTGGGAAACTTGGGACGTCACACAGTTACTTCAGGTTATAAAAAGAGAACGAGCAAGAAATGCAGGATTTGTACCTGTAACAGGTGGTGTTGTTGAAGAACATGTCAGCAAGCTATATGTTTGTTTAGATATGAAAATAACGATAGAAATAAAAGCCATTTTGGGGGGTTTTCAGGCCTCTTGGAAGCTGATGCGCCGATCCATAGGTGTTCCAAAACCTTTTCTTCTTTCGATATGTAGGAAAACTGTGCAGTAGTTTCCATAAAAGTAATTTTCTTTCCCAGTGCATCAAGAGGTCCAAAGAAAGTCCAAGGTTCGAATAAAACCTCAACCATATATCATCTAAAGGAAAGGAAATGCCTTTGAGACAATAATCTTAGCCGAACATGCCGGAGATAGATTGCCAACCATTACCTTGTGGTCAACGAACATCCGCCACTAGCTGATGACGCTAGTCACGTCGTCATTCTCAGAAGAAAAACACCTTTCTGCCCTCGTTATCATGTGATCTTCGGTATAAAACAGATGCACTGGTATGCGCAAACTATTCTTTTGGAGTGGGTTTTATGTGACCCAGACTAAACTTGCTTGGCTTGCCATTGTCATTTTGATCATGGGAACCGTTGCCGCCCTCATCATCTTGAGTATCTATCTCATGTTGTATGTCCCGCTTGGGTACGCTAATCCTCTCGTTTGACGCCTCACCGACTTAATTATAGTCACTGGTATTTCGATATTGGGGAGTGCGGTTGCTGGGATTGCGATCTTAGGACAAGCAAGCACATCTTTAGGTGGCGCGCATGACGGAAATATCTGTCTCCACCTGAACAGAGGATTAGCTGTGTGGTCGCACCTAATCTCCTCTTAGAATCTATGATCATCTCGCTTATCATTACCAGGTCATAGCTTAGTGCTTGTTTGGTTTGGCTAGTCAATATGTAGTAAGAATTTAGTGTGTCTGCAATTTTTAGTCATCCAAATTGTCCTACCACATCCTCGGTTAGGCAAGTATGAATCTCTAGTGTGCCAACGATAGAGACCTGTCTCGTTTATTACTTTCGATCTGTTGCAAGAGAAACCTGCAATTAGCAGTGATAAGAAAAACCGACGATAGATAAATCAAACTGAACCAAACTAACCAAAGTTAATGTTTTTATAAGGTCAGAACTGCCACTGCAAGAGATCTTTTGTTGAAGAAGGGAATTGGTCTTGCGGATTGTGGTTGCCAAGCCAATATGGATAGTGGTAGTGAAGTCAGCTTTGACCAAATCATCTGTGTTAGAAATATATTATCTGATCCGAGAGATACTCAAAATCAGAATAAATATATTATCTGATTCTGAGTATCTATTGGATTATAATATCGTTATTCTGATTCTGAGAGACTCAGAATCAGATAATATATTTCTAACAATCTGATTGTCAAGTGAAGATACTTTAGAGAGGTATAAAGTGCAGGAAGCGAGAGCCAACTCTTAAGCTATCTCTAGAATCCTAATTTTAGGAATCAGCCTCGAAAGGTACTGTTCGCCATTGTACAGCATGCACACCCAACTTCAAAAATTTGTTCCGAGCAAACCATTAAGCTCAATTCGAGTTCCGTAAAATATTTTAACTTCACAATACCCTAAACTATCATTTCTATATGCAGCCCGACCACTCATCAATTGAACCCCATAGCTTAAAATCAATATAACTTTGAATTTGTGCCATAATTTCGAAAATTACTTCGATTAGACGAATAGAGGCTTCGATTACTTACCCAGCATTGCAACTCGCAATTGATTTGGCTTCGTATCGAGAACGCGCAAAGATTTTCTCTCTTTTCCTTCTTTTTCTCTTCGCGGACGAGCGGCTTCAGTTTTCCCTTCTTGTCTCTGCCGAGAGCTTCTTCATCTTTTGAATAAGAAATGAGATGGTGGGCTGGGTTTGTCTAGTATAGACATGGGCTGGCCTGGGCCAATATGTTACGGCAATAATTGGACAGACTCAAGGACGAGGCAAATACCCGCATGGCCGTGACTTCCCTTGTGGCTGCCATGACTTTCGCTTCTGGTTTCGCCATTCCCAGAGGATACAATGGCTCTAAACCGGATGCCGGGATCTCAACATCTGTGTGATCTGTAACACCATTGCCACGTATAGCTCGATCACCGCAGTTGTGATCCTCCTGTTGTTTCTAACAATCGATCCTTACGCGGTGCGAAATGCCCTGCTGAAAGCATGGTTCCCATTGCTTGTGGCTCTTGCGACAATGTCGGTGGCATTCACCGCAGGCGTCTATGTGACCGCGACTAAACTTGCTTGGCTTGCCATTGTCATTTTGGTCATGGGAACCGTTGCCGCTCTCATCATCTTGAGCGTCTATCTTATGTTGTATGTCCCACTTGGGCACGCTAATCCTCTCATTCGTCGCTTCACCGACTTAATCATTGTCGCGGGTATTTCGATATCGGGGATTGTGACTGCTGGGAGTGCGGTACCAGGGCACACAACCACATCTCCAGGTGGCGTGCGTGATGATAATCTCCGTCTCCACCTGAATAGATGATTAGCTTGAGGGGTCGCATCCGATCTCCTCTTAGAACCTATGATCATCTCGCTTATCATTTACCAGGTCATTAGCTTAGTGCTTGTTTGGTTTGGCTAGTCAATATGCAGTAAGAATTATGGTGTCTGCAATTTTTAGTCATCCAAATTGTCCTACCACATCCTCCGTTTGGCAAGTACAAATTTCTAGTGCGACAAGGATAAACACCAATTTTGTTTATTACTTTCGATCTGTTGCAAGAGAAACCCACAATTAGGAGTGATCAGAAAAACTGAGGATCGATAAATCGGACTGAACCAAATTAACCAAAGTTAATGTTTTTGTAAGGTCAGAACTGCCTCAAGAGATCTTTTATTGAAGAAGAGAATTGGTCTTGCGGATTGTGGTTGCCAAGCCAATATAGATAGAGGAAATGAAAAGGCAGGAGGAAATGCTGTGGAAAAAAAGAATGGAATAGAATGTAATTGATAGGATGACGATCTTGATTCCTTTGTTTGGTTTACGTATGAATGGAACAGAATAAGGATTCTTTTGTTTGATTGTAAGACAAAAATTC